TAGCCTGCAACGCTTACGCGGACGCGGTGGCGACAGCACACCTCGGGGATAACGACACGGAGGACGCCTCGAAAGTGGTGCGGGAAGCGGTGCGGACGCGGCCATGCATGTACACGGTGCGAAGGGAGGCGGCAGAGAACGCAGAGAAGAGGGAGATAGTGGACCGACGGACGTACGGACACATGTGTAAGAGCGCGCACGAGTGGGTGTGCGAGCAATATCGAAAGACAGTGAGGCCGGGGTCGCACACGGCAGGGGTGGCGGGACGGTTGTGGAGCGAAGTGGCAGTAGCCAGCCTCAAGCATCGATGGGATAATAAGATGAGATTACCAGACGAGAACGGGGGGAAGGACAGGCGGGCGACATTTGACGACGTCGGGTAGGGCGCTTCTGCATCACCCAGTGCGTTGCGGCAGTGCGAGCACTGCACACATATTCAGGTTTTGGCTCGGTCCACTGCATCGAACACGCCGTCACCCTCTTGCACGACCTAGACCGATGTGAAGACCATTCGACGCTCGACCTGGAGGACTACGCATTTGTGATGCGGTGCCTGCTCGAGAGCGACGTCCACCGAGCGAAGGAGGACCTCGTGATCAAGGTTTTGGGAACCTTGCATGAGGGAAGCATCCCCTTTGAGCCTGCGGATGATCAGGTGGCGGGCTGGATCCGGCTGGCCGTGTCGCTGATGCGCTTGTATCCCAACGTTCCGCCCGAGCCGTACGGGCAGCACGACACGGTCGTGTTCCACGCCCTCTGCGTGATCGAGGTGCTTGCCGGTCGAGCGTTCTGCGCCGCTCGCGATCGGCGACGAGCACATTTCTTCGATGTCGACGCGGTTGTCCCAGAGGCGGTGCAGGTCATCGTTGAGCTTGCCCTCGAGACGCTGTCCTACGATAGCGGCCCCTTCTGCCCCGAACTCTCCATGGTGGCCTTTGCCGTGAGGCCGATCGCGATACTCGTGGACTCGCCGGCGGCGGCCGCGGGCCGCTGCGGGCTGCCTGCTGCTTTGGTGCGGCTCCTGGACACGTTCCCTCCCGTGCCAGCTGGCGAGTCGCTCGAGTCGCAGGAGCGCTCGGACGAGCTGTGCGAGCTGGCCCTCAAAGCTCTATGTTCGTTGGCGCTCACTGACGGCGCCGCAGTCGTTGCCGCTGACGCTGTGCGCATTGCGATGCACGTCCTCTCGCACCCTCACCTGCCTCAGGCATGGGAGTGGGCTGTGTGCCTGCTCTCAATCCTGGCGTCGGACGGACACGGCGTGCATGAGACGACGCGAGCGACGCGGGTGACGCGAGCGTCACGAGCAGGGCGCAGCCGCGGTCAGGGGGCCGTCGGCTTCCTGCGGTGGGCGGCCCGCGCCGCCACGTGTGGTTCCGGTAGCGTTTCGCGGGGCGCGTGATTTAATTCTTTATTTGTGTGGGGTGCCTCGGTCCGAGAGATACATTAAAGTCCAAAGAAAGAAAGAAAGAAAAGATTCCCGCCAAACACGAGGGAGATGGGAGGAGCTCCTTTCAGACGAATCAGTTTTGTTGTAAATTCTAGCACATTTCTTTGTAGTTTGTTCGCCGAGGTGCGAGGACACACACAGGACGCACCTCTAGCGAGGCCCGCATAGTATGTGGGAGACTCCTGTGGCTGTGCCGCCGGCGCCGCCCCTGCCACCCCTGAGTTTTTGGCTGTGCTGTGCGAGAGAGTTGTTTTGTTTAAATTCTTCTTCATTACAATTTAAGGGCCGGTATCCCGTGTGTGTGTGTGTGTGTGTGTGTGTGTGTGTGTGTGTGTGTGTGTGTGTGTGTGTGTGTGTGTGTGTGTGTGTGTGTGTGTGTGTGGTGTGTGTGTGTGTGTGTCACACACACGGTATCCCCTACCTTCCTTCAAAGAAAGCCCCCCCACACCCGCGCAAAGTGCGCGCAAGCCTCGGCCCTCGCCGGGGCGCGACAGAGCCGCGGCGCCGCCGATGCAGCTATCCCTGGTGTGGACGGTTTTTTTCGCGGTATCCGCGGCGGGATATGGCGGGATATGGCGGGATATGGCGGGATACCGGGAGATACCGGGAGATACCGGGATCAGATACCAGGATATCGAGATACGGGCAGATACGGGCAGATACGGGCAGATACGGGCAGATACGGGCAGATACGGGCAGATACGGGCAGATACGGGCAGATACGGGGAGATGCGAGGAGATGCAAGGAGATACGGGGAGATACAGTCAGATATTGGAGAGATACATCAAGATACCGCAAAAAAACCGTCCACACTAGGACTGCAGCTGGAAACGGCTTGCCGCTCGCGCGTGGCAACGTCGAGCCTCTCCCGCTCAGACCTCGCGGCCCGCGCCCACAAGGCGAGGCGCAGCACCAGCGCCCCCACCTCCTTCATCCCAAGCTTCAGCTCCGCCACCTGCTCCGCCAGCTCGGCATTGGAGCGGCGCTTCGGCCGCGGACTTGGCATGCCGCCCCGCGCCTCCTCCTCGTCGGGCTCCACGAGCCGCTTGTGAGGCGGCTCGCGCCGCCGGCAGCAGCAGCGGTAGAAGCAGAGAGCGCCAGGAAGAGCCACCCGGCTACTCCCAGCGCCAACTCCAGCGGGGAATTGGCGAGGATGGCTCGGCCCGCCTTTACCACGTGATCGCGAAGGAGGGGGGGGGGAGCACTCGGAGTGGATGTCCGGTTCCGGTCGTCCAATTTTAGCTTTAGCGAGTCGCCGAGGGGGCGCAGGCTCCACTCGCGCACCGCGCTCCCGTGTTCGGCGACCTTCTGGGCCCACCGCTCAGGGAGCAGCGCGCCCAGCTCCGTTTCCAGCTCCTTGAGGACGGGCGCCACCGTCCCGCCGAGCTTCTCTACAAAGTCGGCGTAGAAGGGTGGGGGTGGGGCGAGCGGCGGCGGCGGCGGCGGCGGCGGCGGCGGCTTTGGTGGCGGCGGCGGCGGCTTTGGTGGCGGCGGCGGCGGCGGCGGCGGCGTTGCTGGAGGCGAGAGAGGCGGCGGCTTCGCCGGCGGCTTCGGCGGCGGCGGCTTCGGCGGCGTTGCTGGAGGCGAGAGAGGCGGCGACGGCGGCGACGGCGGGGGCGGTGGCTGTGGCGGCGGCGGTAGCGGGGGCGGGGGAGGTTCTGGCCGCTGCCCCGGCGGCCAGGGCGGCATCGGCGGCGGTGGGTTTGGCTTTGTCACCCCTGGCGGCGACGGCGGCGGCAGCGGCGGCGGCGGCTGAGGCGGCGGTGCAGGAGGTGGTGGCGGGGAAGGCGAGGGCGACAGAGGCGGAAGCGGAGGCGAGGAGGGTGGGGGCGGCGAAGGAGGCGGCGGCGAGGGCGGAGGCGGTGAATATATTTTTTCGTAGCACGTCGTGCCGCTCGAGGGCGTTGCGCCCGCAATCGCGTCCTCCGGTGCTTGCGCCTTATAGGTCTTGCACTCGACCTGACCTCCGACGAGCGGAGCGTAAAAGCTGTAGCCGACGCAGAAAGCGTCGACGTCGCAGGACCGGCGGCAAGTTGCGTGATTCGCAAATGCGTAGGAGACGCTGTTGGACGTCGACGCGGAGTCGTACTTCCCTGGGCCGCCGGCGCGGTCTACACACCCTAGGTACCAAACCATATCGCTACCTAGACGTTCGGCGGATGAGCATTAGTGTGCCTCTTCGGTTCTGACTTTCAAACTCGGTGTCGACCACCAGCCCGACGCTCACTACAAGTGAGGGCTTTGGCACGATCCCGGGGTGTTGGTCAGGACACGATCCTATCGAGGTGGATCTCCTTTGGCCGCGAGTGTGTGTGTAGTGTGTGGCAAAAAACTCGTCTCGCTGCACACCAAGAGCTTATGCTCTGGCGAGATGTGAGGCGCATGCGCCCAGGAGCAGGGGAGGGCGTATGCGTAACGACGCTGCTAGAGATGCGTTTCGGGGCCCAGAGATAAAACTTCTGATGCCATGCGTGACCTAGTAGTGTCCCCAGCTATGGGCGTGTCCACGTTGGAGCCAGGTGTGGTGTGGGCGCGAGAATAGCTCCGCCGTTCATGGAGGCAACCGATGCGAGTCGACTGGTGTGTGTCGTCGTGGTTTCGTATCAAGAATACTCACTCACTCACCCAAGTGTGTGTGTGTGTGTGTGTGTGTGGCAGTAGGTGGGCGAGCTTCAAGCGCGCTCATCTCGATCGTCAAGGCGTCGCTACGCGCGGTCTTCCGCGGGGCCGTCAGCGCCGCCGTCAGCGGAAGCTGGACCGCGGTCGGGCACACCTGTATCGGGACGAGCGTCACCTCAGAGCCCGCCGCCTCGCTCACGTCGCTCGCCGCCTCGCTCGCGTCGCAAGAGACGGCGGCAGAGGAGCCGACAACTGTTGACCTCTCGCTCCTGCAGCAGCAGCGACAGCTGGCTGAGCGTCTCAAGCAAATGGAAGCCATGCTGGAGGCGCAACGGCGGGCGCAAGCACTAGAAAAGGTGCGCATGGACCTCCGCATTGCTACGGTGTCCGTCCTCTTCCTTCTCCCCTTCTTGTATGCTTTGCACATCGCGTCGATTCCTTTTCGCGTGAGCACCAGCCTGAAGCCCGCCCAGCAGCTGAACCGCTCCCTAAGTCGAAGGAGCATCATCAGTCTCACCCACTTCGCTCGCTGCCCACCGTCTCCGCTCCCTCCCGCTTGAGCCGCCGTCGCGGCCCTCGTTCGTCCCACTGGCTGCGGCTGTTGGCCCGTCCCTGCGTTGCCTGCGTGATCCCTCCTCCTCCGCGACTCCCTCAAGGCCGGCCGAGCCTCTTTCCACCCAGTGAAGAGCTTCCTCAGCCACTCGATGTGTTCCTCTCTCTTCATTATGCGCGCCGTAGCCTCATCATTGAGCTAGATCCACCTCTGCACCGCTCCCGTCGCCGCCTCCCGAGGCCGACACATGTTTTTCTTTTTTGCTCCCTCCGGCCCTCATGGGTTTTCCATGCCTCAAGCCTCATCGCGCCGGTCTTAGCGTTTTCGGACGATCGCGAGTCGTCGGTCCAGTTGTAGCTTGTACCACTTATCCAAAACACGCGCCTTAGATCTTATTGGTAACGTATGCTCGGTATGCCGTACACCTGCTACTGCCAGTACTGTACAAACGACCTCCCGTCGATAGGTTCCGCACGGTGGTCGGAGAGAAAACCTTCCGCAACATGCTCGCGCATCCCAGTCGGTGCACACTAAGCACTCGAAACCTGTACTGGGACAGAGCCCCTGTCGGGACCCGACCCTCTCATCCCTGGGCCCCTAGCGGCGGGCTCGCTCATGGCGGCTCGAAGCCGAACTTGACAAACCTGCCCGCGTGCCCGGGCTTCATCCCCGTCTCCTTGGCCACGTCCGCCCGATCGGCGGCGTCCAGTCCGCGCAAGAACGAGATGTCGTCGTAGCCCTCGGCGTCAAAGGCGGCGGCGTAGGCCTGCAGGTTGACCTGCGCCAGCGCCGCGGCGACGGCCGCCATGCCGCCCGTGGGCGGAGGGGGCGTTTCCCTCAGCACGGTGCGCCCGTCCGGCGTGGTCGTGAACAGGCGGCTCGAGAGCGGGGAGGGGCCGGCAGGGGCGGCGGTGGAGGAGGGGGCGGCGGCGGCGGCAGTAGAGGTGGAGGCGGCGGCTGCGGTGCGGGCGGCGGTGGCGGGCGCGGCCAGTGCGGTGGGTGCGGTGGCGGCGGTGGCGGCAGAGGAGGAGGAAGAAGAGGAGGAAGCGGCGGGAGGGGTGGAGGAGGAGGAGGCAGTCGAGGGGGCGGCGGCGGCGCGGCTTGAGCGCCGCTTCGGCGGCGGCGCGTCGGTCGGCTCGAGCGGGCGCTTTGCTGGGCGGGGCCGGGCGCCGGTGCCGCCGCCGCCGTAGGAGGAGGGCAGCGGAGCCGGGCGAGGAAGCGCAGCCTCTGCCTGGCGCTCCGGCGCCTCGCCGACCGTGCGCGCGTACGCCACCGCCGCCTCCACCGCCGTGTCGAAGGTGCCCAGGTAGACCTGCCTTCCGCCCACCGTGCCCATTGCCTGGAAGCGGCCACTGATCTCGCGCACTCCCGTGTAGCCGGTGCTGCTGCTGCTCGAGAGGTGCAGCCGCAAGCCCTCCGCCTCCGCCGCCACTGCCGGAGGCTGGTACTCGCCGACCGCGCGCGCGAACGCCACCGCCGCCTCCAACGCCGTGTCGAAGGTGCCAATGTGTGCACGTCCACCGTCAGCCGTCTGCCGCGCCTCGAAGCGGCCGGAGGCGTTCTTGATCACCCCCTTGTACCCGGTGGCGCCACCTCTGTTAGAGAGGTGCAGCCGCAGCCCCTCCGCCTCCTCCGCCGACGCCTGCCCTGCTGCTGCCGCCACCGCCGAGCCCGCTTCCGGCGCCTCGCCACCGCCGCCTCCACCGCAGTGTCGAAGCGGCCGAGGAAGACAGTCCGTCCACCCACATGGTGCTGCGCCTGGTAGCGGCCAGCCTGCACCACGGTGCTCTTGGTTACCCCCTTGTAGCCGCCACCGCCGGCCTCCTCGTCGCCGCCACCGCCCCCACCCCCCGCGCCGCCCGCGCCGCCCGCGCCGCCCGCGCCGCCCGCGCCGCCCGCGCCGCCCACCGCCTCGGCAGTGGCAGTGCTTGCCGCCGCTTGAGTGTCCGCCTCTGCAGCCACAACGCCGGCGGCGGGCGCAGGCGGCCCCTCGCTTGGCGCGGCGTCCGCGAGCTCTTTGAGGCGGAGCGAGCACTTCTGCTTCTCGTCGTTCCAGACCAGCACCAGGCAGGAGGCGCCCGCCTTCACCTGCGCCTTGACGATGCAGCTCCCGCAGTCGCACGGCATTTTGAGCCGCAGCGTGTGCAGCTGCGCTTTGGGCTCGAGGGTGAGGCGGAGCTTTCGGAGGTGCGGGTCGGCTGCGCTCTCCCTGTCAAGCGCGCGGGCGAGCCGCCCGCTCTCCGCGAGGCTCTGCCAGGAGAGCGGCGCCGGCGGCGCATCCGCCATTTGCGAAAAAACGGCACTTTTTCGGTGCTGGTAGCCCCCCCAAAACAGGCGCGCGCAGCGCGCCCAGGGGCGCCGCAGGCGCCCCAAGCGGCGCGGAGCGCCGCCGCAGGCGGCGGACAGCAGGTGCGCGAAATTAAACGCCATTTTTGGTTCCGCGGTTTTGCCACTAACATTGAAATCCGGTACAAAACGACTTAGCCGAAACAGCTGACAGACAGACAGAGAGCACACACGTTCGAGACGGGGGTGCGCCGACCGCCGTCGCGGACCCAGAAAAAACGGTTCGCTCGGAAAACCTCGTTGGGACCGGGGTTCGACTGGCTCCATGAGGCAAAATGGGTTGAGAATGGTGTGTCGCAGCTTTGTGGTGCGAGCAGCGCAGCGCCAGGCCGACCACTGGCATTCTCTCTCTCTCGCCCGAGCGGCTGTGGGACGGAGGCCCGCCGAGCGAGTGCGAGCCGCATCGGCGGCCATGTCTCCCGCCGCCGCGAGCGAGTGGCGCAAAAAGGCAGCGTCGCGCTTTTGCCTTTTTTTATTTTCAGCACTCCGCAGCGCACACTACTCGGGAAGCGCCGATCGCGATGCTCTCCGCGCTGAGCTGCTGCGCTCTCTCCTTCTCAATTCAGCGCGGCATCGACGGCGTTCTTAGTACTCGGCTGCCCCAGCCCGTTGCTGCCGCCTCCATCGCCTTCGAGATCACTTCGGTCCGAGGCGACGACGCCTCTCTCGACCGCGCCGCTCGCTTCTTCGTCGAGGGCTTCTGGGCGGCGAGCACAACCACGGACACTGGCGGCGCGCTCACAGACCGCGACCGCGACCAGCTCGCCGCGCTGCAGCGGGACGACATGATCGCTCGGTACGGCGAGACGGTCGGCGCTCGGAGGCTCCGCTCGTCGCTCTTTGTGGCGGAGGACCCGAGCAGTGGCGCCATCGCCGGGTGTGTCGGCGTCGAGATGGCGCTCGTCGACCCGTCGCGCGGCCGCGTCCTCTCGCGCGCGCAGTCGGAGAAGCTGTTTAGCGACGAGCTCAACTCGATGGGGGCGCGCGAGCGGGGCACGTACCGCAAGATGAGTGCGGCGGAGCTGACAGAGGCGCTCTTCCCAGAGTACAAATGCCTCGCCCTCCTCGCCAACCTCGCCGTCGCGCCAGCCGCGCGCGGCAGCGGTCTTGGCCGCCGGCTGTGTGCGCGGTGCGACGAGGCGGCGGACGCGCGGGAGCATAGAAGCCGAGTCCGTCTTCCTGTCTTCCGTCTTCTTGTCTCCCAACCAGCGCTCGAGACGACACGTATTCCGCTGCATTCCGCTGCATTCAATGTATTCGTCATCCCGCCCGTAGTCGCGTGAAGGCATGGGTACACTGCACAGTGCCGTGCTCCCGCCCTCATGTCGGCGTCTTCTGCTTCTAGGACTGGGAGCTGCCCGCGATCATGCTGCAGGTGGAGCTGCACGAGATCGCACGAGATTACACGAGATTACACGAGATTGCACGAGGATACACGATATTACCGAGATTATGCGATCGTGCTGCAGGTGGAGCTGGCAAACGCGCCCGCTCGCAAGCTGTACGAGGCCGCCGGGTGCGCCGAGATGCAGCCGAGATGCAGCCGAGATGCCGCCGAGATGCTGCCGAGAGGCAGCCGAGATGCTGCCGAGATGCTGCCGAGATGCTGCCGAGATGCTGACGAGATGCAGCCGAGGTGCTGCCGAGATTCTGCCGAGAGATCGCCGAGAGAGATAGCCGAGAGAGATAGCCGAGAGCCAGGGAAGAGCCTCCCCCCCCCCCCCCCAACACACACACACACACACACACACACACACACACACACACACACACACACACACACACACAACAAACAGGTACCGCGCGGTGTTTGCCGACGAGGGCGCGAGCGCGCTACGCGTGAAGCCGGGAGGCGCGGAGCTGCAGCTCGAGTCCGTCCCGTCGACTCTGCTGCTCATGGGCAAAGGCGTCTGACGATGGCATGCGCTGTGGTTGGACTCTAGACTCCTTGTCCGCGTTACCGCCTCTTGCTTCGTGTGTTTCTTGCTTTTGGTGTCCGTGATGTGCACCCAAACACGGAGATCATACGGAGAGGTGAGTTTCGTATGTGCCCGAAGGGAGTACCGAGTGTACGGCTTTCGCAGGAGAGCAGTCGCGCGACACGCGACTGGTGCATCACTACACATGATTGTAGAGAAAGCATTTCGGAAAAACCCGGGCTGGCGCGACAGCGGACAGGTATTCTGCACCTCCGTCGTACATCCTATCGTCATAGTCAAGCACCACCCCGGCGCCGTGGGTCCGTGCGCGGCGCGGTCCCTTCGCTTGCCCCCCTTGCGCTAGACGCCACTCTTCGCCGCGCTGGGGGCTCAAAGTGCCGTCCGCGCCTCCTGCCACTCTCGAATCGTCCGGCGCAAATTGTGGTTCGGGATTAAGATGCTACGCTCGAGCTCGCCGCCGGAGTTATGCGTACTACCATTTCATGTTGAACACGAGTTCTCTGAGGCCGCGGTTGGTTAACGTCCAACCTCCTGCGGGAGCACGATGCTCTGCTATGCCAGGATGATATGTTCGGGTACCTGTACCTGTTGTCAACTCAAGCCCACCTGCATTGAAACTTGCATGGCTGTATGGTTGCGAGGCTCACTTTGCGGGCCAATGATTTATGAGAAGCCAACCACCCCGCAAGCCACCCCGGCCGGGCGCCCATTGGGTTGCTTGCTAATATAATAAAAATCCTGACTATAGATTAATTCCTGATTACGCTCTCACTCTGCGCCGTCTGCGCGGTGCCCCGGCCGGCGCGCCGTTAGCCCGTTACTGGCTGACTTATACTATACATAGTTCAGTGATGCCGTTATTGCGTCACCTAATTGTATAGTCGTGCCACAGGCACTATCGTTAACTATCGTACATGAGTTGATGAATGTACAAAATGGCATTGACGGTTGTAATGTTGGGGGCGGATCCGGCACTCCCCCCTTAATTCACGTGGGAGCATGATCGATCGCCCACTCCAGACAGGAGCGCAGCAGGGCGTTGTGGTGAGGCAGGGCTACGGGAATCCAGCGGAGGCGTGGAGAGGCAGCGGTGTCGGCAGGGATCGGAGGCTCGAGAGAGGGAGGGGTGTGGCATGTGGCTCGTGGTGGAGGGGGCTGGAGAAACGGCGGCATTGGCCGCTTATTTGCGGGCCTTGTGCACTGCGTCGTCAAGGAAAGCCAGCTGCACAGAGGAGAGGCCAAGCTCGAGGATCGGCGTATCGAGGCTGAGGCGGGCGACACCAATCGCCCGCAGGGCTGCAGCAACAAAGTCTGGCGCTGTAGGCATGAAACGTGAGTGCTCTTGCCCAGTATATAGGCGGCGCTAAACGGACCAGTCAGAGAAGGGTGGGGGAGGCGCGCGGTTTCGTCCCCGTACCCCCCCCCCCCGGGGCGGGTTCTTTGTTTGCCAATAATGGATACCAAGAAAGAAGCCAAGAACACCGCGGTTTTTCTTGTTTTTGCGTCACACTCTTGTGTCTCCAAGAGCCGGCGTCGCGCTGCCGCACTGCGCGTCGCTGACCCCGAGCTATGCCGCGACGCTCACAGGCCCGAGCGGGTGCGAGAGCTGTTCCCAAGCAGCCGGTCTGCGGCCGCCCAGGCAACTCTACCGCGCCTCGGCCGCTCTCCATCGGCCTCGGTGTCACGCACACTTGCAGCCAGGGGTACCGTCCCGAGTACATGAAGGCGCAGATCTTCCGGCTCGCGCTGCTCTCGTACCGGCAGTCCGGCCTCCTGCAGCTGGCGTCCGAGAAGCTCCTCTTCCTCAACGATCCGAACGCGGAGTGCCGTGCACTGGGCGCCTCGTACGGCTTTGGCATCCTCACGCCAGCCGCCGTGTTTGCCGCGCCGCACCGCTTCCCCATCATCAACCGCGAAAATCCCAGAGCGCACCTGAACGCGGTCGCGGGCGGCAGCAAGAGCAGGCCGCGCGACTCGGCGTACGCGCCCGTCGCCCCGGACGTCGCGCTCTCCGGCGAGACGGTGGCTGTCGGCAGAAAGACAGAAAGACAGAGACGCACGCGCCAGACGAGGGAGGGGAGAAGGACCGACTGCCCCCACCTGACGGGGTGGGCAGATGCATTTCTTTCTAGCGATGCATTTCGCCTTGCTTTAACCAAACATCACGTGTGTTTAGGTGACGGTCGGCACGGCGATGAGCTTCCTCTTCCAGGCACTCTCGACAGAGCAGGTGCTCTTCCTCGAGGCTGACTTCGTGGTGTGTGCCTAATTAAGAATCAGTTGGGTGAATCAACTACCCCTAGGTGCTCTTCCTTGAGGGCGACTTCGTGGTCGGCGTGCCGCCCGACTCGCTCCGCGCGCAGCTCGAGGCGGCGGCGCTGCTGCGGGGGGTCGATGCCACACTAGAAGCGGAACCTCTCCCCAAATCTCCCCCATATCTCCCCCATATCTCCCCCCGCAGGCGGGCCTCCCGCTCACGCGGCTGCAGTCGCGAGCGACCATCAACCAGCCGGGCGGCCTCGACGCGCCGTGCTGCTCCGCCGCCTCCGCCACGCCGCACCGCGAGTGCCGGTACCGCCTCCACGGCGGCAGCTGGGCCCGCTCGCCCAACTGGCGCAACTTTTACTGCGACGTTGACATGCCGGCGCGCGGTGCCGTCCTCATGGCCACTTGCGTGCGCCGGCCGACGATGCGCTGCTTCTCCTCGACCGACGCCAACTGGAGCAACCGCCCGTTTCTCGCGGACCGGCGCTGGTTCGTGCATGCGCCGCTAGAGCCGTCGGGTGTGGACGGCGTCTCTTCACACCTCCAGCTGTGAACAGGTTCCCGCACGCGCCGCTTGAGCCGTCGGGTGTGAACGGCGTCTCTTCACACGCCCAGCTGTGAACAGGTTCGTGCATGCGCCGCTTGAGCCGTCGATCAAGGCGCTCAACGCGTCCCTCGGCGAGCTCTCGCAGGTCGTGCCCGGTATCTCCCCCACATCTCCCCCAATATCGTCCCCACATCTCCCCCACATCTCCCCCATATCTCCCGCATATCTCCTCTCGCTAGCTTCCGCAGGTCGTGCCCGACGACAACGGCGCCTTCGAGGTGCACGCGCTCTCAGCGTCGGCCGAGTAGCTCATTCCATGCCGCGGGGGAGGAGGACGGCTCAACTCGTGGTGTTGCCCGCCAAAAGAAAGCCAATTCTTGACTTGGGCCCTCGGGGAGGCCTGCGGGCGGCCTTCTCTCGAGGTCTCGAGATACACAAAGCGGCCAAACGTAGGTGCACATGCTCAACATCGACTGGGGCCGCGCCGCCGTCCCCCTCTGCCTCTCCGCCGACGGCGTCTTCGAGCACTACGGCTACTCGCAGCCGCAGCGCGCGATGCTCCGCTCCCTTAGCGACGCCGACCTCGCAACGCGCAGCTACCTCGATCTGCTCGCCGCCGCGCGCCGCGATCCCGCCGCCAAGGAGCCGCCGGTGGCTCCGGGTTCGAATCGCGGCCTTCGCGGAGCGAACGCGGCGACCTTGGCGCGCCTCGCGCACGTGCGCGCCCGCGACAAGACGAGACGAGACGAGACGAGAAGGAGAAGGGGACGTTGATGTTTTGCCGCAGCGGCCGCGCCGCGAGCTCGCCTCCGTTTTGGCGCCGACGCAGCGCGCGGCCGGGGCCCGCGGGCCGCGCAGCGACGTTCGCGCGGCCGAGGCTGGGCTAAGGTAAGGTAAGGTAAGGTAAACTTCTCCACACACACGAGGTGGTGGGGCAAGGGGGGGCAACCCTCGCGTCTCCACGTCTAACGACAGGAGCCCCACGGCATTCAAAGTGCAGCAAGGCCGGGCTCTCCGGAGGTGGCGAAGCCGAAGGGCCCCCGGCCCGGCGGCCGGGCGCAGACTGGGGGAGAGAGAGAGTTTTGTGTCTAGATGAGAATTACGGTGTCGCGCTCTCAATCTCTGACACAAAAGAGAAACCTGCGCTCTAGACAAGAGAAAAAGCAGCGCTGTCTCACGCGCGCGGGCGGAATTTGGCAGAATATGAATAAATAGGGCGCCGCGGTGCCGGTGGCTCTCAATGAGGTGGAGGTACCATCGACGTAGAGCGCGGTGAGGCTCTGGCGGGGAGAGGACGCATCAGAGGGCCCCGGCGCCAATAATCGCGTGAGGAAGGCAGCCTCCCCCTCTCTCTTCACTCGAGGACCGGCGCGTTCTCGGCGACCGCGGGCAGCGCCAGCCTCACCCTCCCGCCCGCCTTCTTCCTGCGGGACGACGACCCGCCCTTGATCGCCTAGCAGCACGCAGCACCGCGACTCATCCACCCCTCGCCTTCACACGTGGCAACGAACCGCCCTTGATCGCCGGAGGAGCTGCGCCCGACCCCTTCAGCGCAGGCGGCTGTGCCTTCCGGGGCGGTGGAGGTGGCGCCGCCGCCGCCCGCGGCGCTGAAGCTGCCCTCGGCGCCGCCGCTGCCCTCGGCGCCGCCGCTGCCCGCGGCGCCGCCGCTGCCCTCGGCGCCGAAGCCGCCCTCGGCGCTGAAGCCGCCCTCGGCGCCCTTGGCGCTGGATCCCCCTTGCGCGCCGGTGGCGGCGGCGGTGCGGCAGTCTTCCGCAGAGAGGCGGGTGGTGCGGCGCCCTTCGGCACGCCCTTCCGCGGCGACGGCTGCGACGCCGCGCCCTTCCGGGAGGACGGCGGCGGCGCGCCCTTCCGCGGTTGGCGCGCTGGCGCCGCCTTTGCAGCCGCCGCCGCGGAGGGCGGCGCGGAGGGCGGCGCAGCAGCAAGCGGCTCGGATGCCGCTCTCGCCGCCGCCTTCGCCGCCGCCTTCGCCGCCGCCTTTGCCGCCGCCTTTGCCGCCGCCTTCGCCGCCGCTGCCTCGCTGGTCCCTACCGCGGGCGGGTCGTCGGGCATTTGCCTGCAGCGCGAGCACACCAGAGTAATCTCGGGTGATCTCGGGTGATCTCGGCTGAGTGGCGGAGGTCGAGCGCGGTGCAACATGCGACGCAGCCGAGGGGAGAGGTGTGTGTGATGCAGCACAAGATTGGTCTTGGCGGAGAGCGGGTTGTGTCTCAGCACCAGAGGTGGGAGATGGGAGGAGAGCGAGGCGTGATTCAGCACCAGAGTGGTGTTGGAGTGGATGCGCACGTCGGCCTCAGCGCTGGCTGGAGCCGTCGGCGGTCTCCCGCACCTCTACTGCCGAGGGCCTCCCGGACAGGGGGTAGCGTGGGCAGGTATGGGGAGATACGGGGAGATCTGCCGCATCTCTAGCCGGGAGAGCCTCTTTCGCGGAAAAAGCCGGCTCAGCGCGGCGAGGGGCTCCTCGTCGAAAGGCTCGCGCGCCTGCTCCACGGGCGTGGCGGCGTGAGCGGGGCGCCGTCCACACCACGCCCTCCTCGCGCCGCCCGCCGCGCAGTCTCGCGCACCGGAGGATGACGCGGGCCAGCCCCGAGCGCAGCCTCGATCCTGCGCCGCGCACGGGTGGCCTTTGGCGGCGGCGCTCCCGCCGCGAGGTGTCGGGCGCAAGGCTGGGCGGGGCGCAAGAGTGGCGGTGGGGGCGGTGCGCAGTGTGGGCGGGCGGTGCCGGTGCACGGGGCGCGCGCCGGAACTGGTGGTCGCGAGGCGTCATAAGGTCGATCCGTGCCGGAGGAACAAACGCGAGCCCCGCCTTTGCCAGCCGCTTGTTGACGAGCGTCACACGCTGTGTCGCGTGGGACGACGCGTCAGAAGGGCGCCCCGTCGGGGCCGA